ATGGTTATTCTATGGATGCGCAGATGATATTCGTGGGGCAGTATAATCTAAAGATCTTCAATAAGTTATATAATAGTAGATACAGAGTCAGTGAGGTTTATAATTACTAGAGGAGAACATAGAGAGTAAATTACTTGGCAGAGCTTTAAATAAGCAATCTAAAATATAATCTGTAATTATTACATTCTTTGCCAGCTAAGCAATAATATAAGCTTAAGCAAGATTTATATTATATAAACCTTATTTAGAAGTTTATAGAGCTACAAACGGAGAAACAATGTGAGAATCTTATAAAGTGGGAAATCCATAACCTAATTGCACAGCAAGAGAGGCTTTACAATGAGAAATATTGACTGATCTAGGAAACGCTGACTATGTGGTAAGCCGGCCAAAGATGGATTTTCTTAGGGAAAGAGAATGAGAAGTATATTACTGATGTTCAGTCTATATTCTTTAAGAGAACTTAGTGACTCAATTCAGTCTGAGATCGTCTTGTTATTAATTTCTTTCTTGGTCTCGACGTTTCTCTTTGTAGTGAGATTAGAGCAATAGTTATTGAGAATATAATCTAACTCTGTAAAAAAGTGCTTAAGGTTATTTATTATCTAAGTTATATGCTTATATTGGAGGGATAATGTTCAGTGGAGAAGTGTATGATAGATGTGGATAGGTATGTGAATGATTAGTAGCTATGAATGATAATTAATTCAGTTTGGTTCTGTAGACTTCCTTTAGATAAGAGGTGGTCTCATGTGTATAAATGCTACCAGAACTCTCTGTGAGTTAAGTATAAAAATGTATAGCTATGTTATATATGCGATGAATGGGTTGTCAGATGTGATCAGTGGATTGTATATTGTGTAGACTATCTGGTATAGCTTAACAATCTTTCTATTCGATGTGATCTCGTCAATTTTTGTTGGATGATGGTATGGCTAGGTTATTGTATTATGTGTATGTTTCGCTAGACGTAAGTAGATGGATGTTTATGTTATTGGGAGTATCTGAATAAGTGGAAGAATCATGTTGATCAATGTCTTTATGGGTACTGGATGGTAAACTGCTTGATTGGAGAATTGATTATATGTTATGATTTGCGCTGTGAAGGCATTTATGACATGGAGTCTAATCTGCGTTTTCACATGATTAATTGGTATGGGTACCTGTTCTTCAGATTGGTAAAAAAGGCTGTATTAGAGTTAGTAAAGGGGTTCTATACAGTATTATTTATATTTGTCTATGAGTGGCTAAGCTTTTCCCTGGAAAGTTCATCTTTTGTTGACATCCCGCTAATCTACCATATAACAGTCCTTACTTTCTTAGATATAGCTGTTTCGGGCTATGGCAATCGATCAGGCTCTAAGGTAGTGAGGTTGTGTCTTTCTAGTCGATATTCTTTGGGCTTAGAGGCTTAGATTAAATTTTGTTTGCTAGATGAGGTAACTATAATTAGAAGTTTTACTGCTCTATCAATAGTGACTGAATATTTAGAGGCAAAGTTGATGGTTAGATGCAATAAAGATAGTTAGTCTAGATTTTTAGAGAGTCTTTTAACTATTCTGATTATTGTTAACAATCAGAATCTTATAAGGGTCTGTAAAAATTTTTATAGACTTACCCTAAATAGCACTGATGAGTGAGTAGATGGTCATTATTTAGGCCTTTTATTATGGAATAGAAAAACCCATTAGTCTATAGTATGTAAAAGAAAATGGGCACCACTTTCTAATGTTATACAGAGAGGGCGGAGATCATTTAAAAGAATGAGGATTTTATAGTATAAGCATGATATACCATTCTTATCCTGATATAATGTGAATGATTGACCGTCAGTCCAATTTATGGAGAGCTAGAAGGAGTATCTGGTTGATAGCATTCTTGATGAACGCACTGTATGGAAGAGCTGTGGGTTTTTTAAGTAGTATCTTGTTAAGTGGATTGGATATCTTAAGCCTATATGGACTATTGCCTGTTTTCTAGATGATATAGAGGCTCTTAGTCTGTGGTTGGCTAAAAGGTAGATGATTAGCTGAATTTTTTATCATCTTTGTTTGAGTTTTTAAAGAATGATTGTTTTTTAAGTCGCGAAATAGGTGATTATATAATAAGAAATTAGTAGGTAGGATTCTGGTTTGAAGAAGTCCTTAGGGTTGCTATTCTCATAGTAGGTTACTTTAATGATCTGTGATGGTGGTTAAGTGTATTCTCAGATTATAAGATGAAGCTCAATTGGCTTTTGGAAAAGATAGAATGTGGCTCAAGGTCTAGAGTCCAGGCTAACATACTAAAAAGTGGGTGGAGATTTAGCGAAAAAAAAGACCGCTATAGAGTCTAACATCTCATCAAAATGCTAAGGTTCCCAAAGGCTATTGAGATCTATGCCAGGGGTTCGAAAATAACATAAACATCTAGAATTCAAAGATATTTGCTCCCTACAAATTCCACGCAGTATGATCTGAGGCCAGCGATTCGGATACTGTAGTACTGTCTATAAAAAGGCATTATGACACAGTCAAAATATTGTTCACTTATTGCATAGTACGGTCTACGAAAGACAGACAATCCTTGTCAAAAGAGGTCCATCTTACAACAAAAGTATATTAAAATTCTTAAATAAAAGATAAACAATCAGCCTAACAAAAAAATAGAATATTGATGTTAATCTAAGCATAAATAAGACCTTTGTTTACTAAATATAGAAATGTTCAAGTCGTCACTTATATTGTTGTCTATTGTCCTTACAGGATTGATAGCCGATTCAGAAATATCACTGGAAAGTTAGGGTACTTGCCATGAGTGAAGAAAAAATGCAGAATTTATTCTTTGAATCTGGGCGCTGAGTAGACCCGGACGACCATGGGTCTGCGATCTGACTTATAGTAGATCTAATCTTAAATCCAAAAATAGGTATGATCTTGACTGGCTCATATCTAGGTAAAATTATATTTGTGTATCACTATTATATTTTTTTGGGGTCGATAATGTACCCTATTGACTAGAGTTTGAGGAATACTAGGGGTATAAATCTAGATATGTATAGAAAGTTTTAAGGTTTAATCTATTTATACTAATTCTCTTTTAAATTTAAACCCTGGGTTATTTATTTTAATGCGAGAAAAAAGAGTTGAATAGTTTTTATATTTCTGTGAGGTTTAATATATATATGGAATTTATCTGATTGATACTGTAGTATAGAGATATTCAGAATCTTCTTTACTGTTATGTATCTGGGCTTACTCTAGTTGTATTATTATTGACTGTGTTGAGGAACGATATAATGATAGAATTACATAGAGGTTTCTTAAGGGTAATTATTAACGATATACTAAGATTACTGAAGGGATTAAGTACAATAATAGTAGAATATAATTAAAATAAGAGATATATTTTGAAATGTTATAATACTTTAAGTATGATTACCTTACTGATTCTTTTAGTGTAATTAGAGTAACTTAAATTAAAGAACTATGTTAAGATATAGTTATTCTTAAAATTGGTTTAACTAATAAATAGATGATGATTGTTTATTTACCTTATAAGTAATCATAATTGATGTTTTTGATATAATTGATGTTTAGATATAATCACAGTGGAGCTGTTATTACGCTGGGTAGTGGTGTAATTAAGAACCGAGTAATCATAAAATTCTTTCCTTATCCTTGGATAATCAATCATCTGCTGCCCCCCCCTCCCCCGCGATGTTATTGGTGTGGTTGAACGTGGTGGTGGTGTAATTAAGAAAGAGTAATCATGATGCTCTTTCGCTTTAATACTAGGGTTGAGATGAGTTAGGATGACTACATTATAAACTCACACATTTATGATTTGTAGCTGCACAGTAATTATGATCTCTATCAGTGATTAGAGGACCTAACATTGCTTATCCTTTATAATATGCATAGTGGCAGTGGGATAAAACTTTTAATGTCTGTACGCTATTGGGAGAATTTGTGTCTTGTCTAGGGGCCTGTGATGGTTATTTGTCTTTGGTTTTGTTCCCGCATGCTCTTTGGCCCGCGGCTACCTTTGAGATCCTTCTGAAAATCTAGCACAACGCTAACAATGCTGCCGCTACTATGCTGAGTCATTGCAAATTGAAGTGGGGTCTTGTGATCGTAATCATGATTACTGTGCGGCTTACTTCATGACCCATAGATAGGTCAATTTGTAAGCATAAGCGCTTTTCCAAAGTATCATCATACCACTCCATTATTGCTCAGATGTAATCAACCAGCTTAGTGTAGAGATTGTGACCTAAGCATTCTTTCACGAATATAATATTTAGATTTTGAAATTTGACACAGTCTGCCAAACACATCTTAAGATAGTGCCTGCCAGTCCACCTAGGATATTAGCGGGAATATTGATGTTCATTGGCGGAGCGCTACAGTATTCAAAATCTTCCAAGAGAACTGATTGATACACTCGGAGGCAAAACCGGTGTCAGGGTCTTACACTCTTTCATTATTTCCTAAAATCTATATTAAGAAGAGCTAAACCACTTTTAAACTAAGTTCTACATAATTCTGATTTATGATATAACATATAATATTATACTAAATAGATATATACAAATTTTTATATTTAGATTTTAATAGACTATATAACTATCTAAACTCTTTAATAAATATTCTTTATTAACTATTCTAAATTAATATAAATTTAAACTTAATAGTTTAAAGTATTAATTATCTTTAAAAAAACTAGATTTATATATTATCTAGAATTATTAATTATTAATATATTAATATTTAACTTCTTTATTAACTATCTAATTAATATTATAGAAAATAATAATATATTAAAATAATTAATATCTAAAATCTTCTTCTATAACTATATATAATTCTTTATTAAATTAACAATTTCTATACTGTAATTCTGCTATTTCTATATAAAAGCAAGATTATTTATACTGATCAATATGTCTAGATACTCTCTATCTAATACTCTTTTTTTATTTCTATTACTTATATATCTAGCTCTTTAGCCTCTTTCTATCAGCCTTGATTCCAGTATATTAATACTAGGTTGGCCATGCTGCTCAGTATGTAAGGATGTTCCCCATCTAGCACCTTTAAACTTGTCTCCATCACTTGTACAAACAGCTCTTCAGTCTCTTTCCATTGGCCTTGCTTCTGGTACGTCGATGTGTTACAAAACCAACATATGCAAGGCTAAGGACAGATTAGGACGACCTAGACTACTTCAGGGTAAACGTCTATTAAAGCAGCTAATATTATGGTTAATCAATTATTATGATTATATATAGCCTGTTTGCTACTTACATAGAATTATATATTATATAAGCATCTATACTTAGATATATAATAAAAATGTAGAAAAAGTATAAAAAAGATAAGAGAATAATTAGATATATAATTTATATATAAATAGATTATAAAAATATTATAAAGATAATATCTATATAAATATATTTATTTCTATATATCTAGTTTATTTTAGTATAGTTCTTTAATATAAGTTATTATAATTATTATTATTAATTATATTATAAAGATTAATAAAATAATCTTATTTAAAATATTATAATATTTCAAAATATCACTTTTATTTTAATTATATTTTATCTTTATCTTTATCTTTTAATAATCTTTATATTTCATTATTAATTATCTTTAAGAAACCTCTATATAGTTTAATATATTATATTATTTTTTAATATAGTCAATAATAATTAGAATAAATCTTAATATATAATAAAAGAATTATTATCTTAATTTTAAAAAATAATATAAAATAAATACTATTAAGTAGAGCTAATTACTATATTAAAAAAATTTTACTTTAATAAAATTATTAATTATAATAGATAATAATATAATTTTAATATCTAGTATTATTAAAAGATAGATATTCAATATTTAATCTATAATAATAATTAATTAATAATTATATAAATAGATTAGTTAATTAGAGAATATATTATATATAAAAATTAAGATTAATAAATTAACTCTATTTAAAGAAGATAGAATTAAGCTAAAGAATTATCTAGTATAAATATAGTTATATTTTTCTATCAACTCATATTTACTATATAAAGAACTAAACAAAGTCTTAATAGCTTTAATATTTTTAAAAAAAAAAGCTATAGATTGATTTAAATTCTATATATAAATATAATTTAAAATAACTTTAGACAATAAAAAAAATAAAATTAATAAGATCTTTATAGACTATAATATATTTATTAAGAAAATCAAATTAATTTTTAAAAAAATTAATAAAAAAAATAATATAGCTTAAAAAATTTAATATTTAAAATAGATTATATTAGTCTTAGATTATATATTAAAATTTTATCAAATTAACTCTTATCTTAGATAGAATAATAAGATTAAAGCAGATTAATTCTATTAAAAATTAAAAGATAATATTAAAGATGAAATAACTAAGATATCAATAAGACTAAACAATCTTATAGATATAATTAATATAATAATTAAACTTGATAATAAGCTTTATAAATAATATATAAAAAAAAAATATAATAGAAACTAAAATAGTGATAAGAAATTATATTATTATAAAAAAAAGAAAAATCTATATAAATCTTAATTTATGAAACTTAATACTATTTAAAAATAGTTAAAAACAAAATTTAATAAATTAAAGATAAAATATTATAATTATAGAAAGATGGACCACTTTAGGAGAAAGTATAGAATTAAATTATAAGAATAATAATTAAATGTAATAAATAAGAAAGATAAAGAGTCTTATTTAGAATATAATAATAATAATATAGAATAATACAAATTAAGAGATATTAAAGAGTTTCTAAAAATAAATAAAATCTTAAAAAACTAAAAATAATAATAATATAAAGAGATAAACTAAATTAAAAAGATAGAAAATTAATTAAATAAAGCTTTAAATAATATTAAAAGTTCAAAAATAGCTAATAAAGAGAAAAAAAAGTAGAAACTTTATAAAGTTTAAATACATTTTAAGAATAAATATAAAGCTAAATATAGAATAATCTTTAAAAAAAAAATTATTTAAAGTATAGATTATTATATTAAACCTTTTATATAATAGATTTATATATAATCTATAAAAAAATAAAAAAAGATTAAAACTACTTTCTAAGAAAGAGAAAGTAAATAAAGATATTAAACTATAAATAAAAATTAATATAAAAATAGAATACTATTAACCTTTTAAAAAAAAATAATATAACTTAATAAAGTTAAAAATTTTAAAAAAATTCATAATCTTAAAATAAATAGAAAAGATAATAATTTTAAAGATAGATTTATAAAAATCTAAATAAATAACTATATTTAACTATCTTATAATAAAGATCTAAAGAATTAGCTATATATCTATATTAATTATAATTTCACTAGGATTAAAAGAATATAATACATCATAATATTATAATATAAGAAAAAAAAAAGAATAAGTATTATAAAATAAATAAAAAAATAAAAATATTAGATAATATAATATAATTATTTATAACTTAAAAAATATTTAAAGTATTAAATATTATTATAGAAAATCTACTATAATAATAAATATATAACATATATAGTTTTAATTTATAATTAATAAATATATATTTAATATCTTTAAATCTATTTATAAGATTACTTTTAAAATCTATATTCTTTTATAATTTATTTTTAATTTAGTCTTTAAAAGAACTTTTTATAAACTTTAAAAATTAATAATAGATATTTATTAATCTATATTTAACTTTTTTTTAAGTTATTTAATTAATATAAATATTAAAAGAAAAATATTAAAATATAATTTATCTAAATTAATATACATCTTTTTAACTTTAAATAATTTAAGATTTTTTATAGTATAAATAATAAAATTCTAATTTAATAAGCTATATATTTATAAAAAATAGAAATATAATTATATATATTACTATCTCTCTTTTTATATCAATAATTATAATATTATTTTTAATATATTTATAAAAGTTATTTTTTATATAATATATCTATAGAGATTCTATATAAATCAATATTAAAAAATAATCTAATAAAAATATCTAATTCTTTTTAAATAATTTATTTAAAAGCTATTTTAATATTTTATAATAATAATTATATAAAAAAATAAAAATATATAGTATTTAATTACTATTTAAAATAATAATTTAAGAGAATATATTATATAAAAGATATTTAATATAATTAGATTAATTTCAAATTTTTAAAATTCTTTAGATTAAGATTATTTAGAGTTATTAATCTTAATCTATATATTAATCTTAAATTTAGAAATTCTTTAAATTAGGATTATTCAGAGTTATTAATTTTAATCTATATGTTAATCTTAAATTTAGAAATTTTTCATCATTATTTCTATAGGTAGTATTCCCATAGATCTTAGCAGTATCTTTTTTAATTAAGCTTAGTGCTGGGTAGCTTTTATATGGACACCTGTTGGGATTCCACGCAAACTAGTATTAGAATAATGTGAGACTCTATATATTATAAGAGATCTATAATCTTTTAGTATCTTTGAAATATCTTTAAAGGATCTTATAATGCTACTACTAAGACATTAACTAGCTGAAACACTATATAATCTATATCTATAGCTATATATACTACAGGTTAATAATCAGTCTATATCTAAACAAACCCTATGTTTGACCAGTAAATCCCAATATTTGCCTGCTTTCCAGTAACCATCTCACATAAAGCTACATTAATAGCTTCTAGCTCTGTTTAAATTATCTAAAAAAATCTATATTAAGATAATTTAAATTAAAGGTATAGCTATAAATTAATTATATATAGAGAAAATTATATTTAATAAGTATTTAATATATATCAGTATAATAAACTATAATTAATATCATCTTTATAATATAATTATAATATAAACTATTAAATATATACTTCTTAACTATATAGCTCTTAATAACTTATAATATTCAATATAGTAGAATAATAAATCAGAATATAGCTTCTCTAATAATATAAAAATCTTTTTATATAATTAAAAATATATATATAAAATAGTTTAGTTTATTCTTAAATTAAGGTTTATTTTCTATTTTATAGATAAATCAGGGCTGTTTTTACCATCTATATCTATTAAATCTATATTTAATAGATATATAATATAGATTATAATAGATTAACTATTTTTTGTTTTATCTTTTATTTCTTAGTCTTTTTTTTATTAAATATAGATCTAAGTAATAAAGAGATAGATATACAGTATAAGATTATTTAGAATAGAATTATATAATCTATTCTAAGTATTATATTAATTTAGAATTAAAAGGAATATAGTAAATTCTTATAGTAATATAAAACTACTAAATGTCTAAGATCTAATATATAAAGAATAAATAGAATAGAGAAAAAGAAAGAATTTATTATAAAAAAAGAATCATATAGAGCTATATAGAATTATAATAAAGAAAGAATATAATATATATATAATATTAATTGATAAAGTAAAAATAGGATTAATTAGATATATAAGAATATCTTAATTGATTAGTAAATCTTTTTAAGAAAAGCAGCCACATGGTTATAATATATAAAATAGATAATTAGACCTTAGATATTCTGTTATAATACCAAAAGAAAGCCTCTAGCATCAGTGTAGGAATATAACAACAACAACAACAACAATAATTAATAATTAGAATTAATAAATACATATCTAATAGGCTGTCATTTGGTTCGGTTCGGACCGAACCAAAACCGATCTGAAACCCGAATGGTCCAGTTCTGGTCCTATATACAGCGAACTAATATGGTTCGGTTCACTAAGTCCAGAACCATATAGTTTTTTAGGGCCTATTTGGGTCTAATTCGATTTAGATTTTCAATTCAGTTTTATCTGAATATCTGAATACCAGTAAATTATCATTAATAATACTAATAATTTAAAGTTAACTCTAATTCTTTATAATTTTTACTAATTATATAATTATTTCCAAAGCAGCTTTTTATAAATTAAATTCTTATTTTTTGAATTAGAACTTTATTTTAAATATTTTTATAAATATTATAATGAATTCTTAATATTTAAATTATAATCTAAGAATTATCTAGATAATAATAATACTTTTTTTATTTTTTATATATATTTTTTTAAATTATATTATATAGTATATTTAATAAAAAAAATATATATATTTCTATATCTATTTTATAGTATTCATTATTATTTATTTATTTTTTAATATATCTTAATAATCAGATAGAAAATTATAATTTAAATAATTAATTATAATTTTTATATTATTTATTTATTAAATTCACTAAAATTTAGAGAGATTTTAATATATTTTTAAGGATAAAATCTAACTATAATTAAAAATTCTTTTATATAGTTCAGTTATTTAAATAAAAACTGGATTAGACTCAGATTAATCTAATTATAATTAGTAATTCTTCTTTAATATAGTTTAATTTCAGTTTAAAGAGTTAGAACTATTCAATTTTCAGTTCTGGTTCCAATATTAGAGATTAAACCGAACCAACCCACTTTTAGGTTTGATTCAGAAACTCAGGACCAGAACCAAACCAAATGACAGCCTAATATCTAATATTTATATATAAATTATTCAAATTAAATAATAATTTATAATAATAATATATCTTTTAATATATCTAAATTATACTAATCTAGATTATATAATAAAATAAAAAATTCTATAAGAATTCAAAGACTATATAGAATTTCTTAGATAAAAAATCCTTAAGACTAAAATTTCTTATTAAAATCTAAAAAAAAAAAAATTTCCACTTATTAAATAGAAAATTTTAAATATTAGATAGAAAATCCTAAATAGAAAATTAATTATACAAAAACTTTTTATCTAGAACAATCTTCTCTACTGAAACTTTTCACATGGGAAATCTTATATTTCCCATACACAAGTGGGACAAAAATTTCCCTTCCCACTTCGTTTCAGCGAAACCGTCCCGTTTTCGCGGCCACCCTAGTATTAATAATATAGATATATCAATTGTATTTATAGTTGTTCATAACCATACATTTGCCTTATAGAATAATTGAGAAGGTGAAGAGCAGATTATAGTGATACAGCGGGAAGATATACAATGACGAGTAGGTGTCGCCAACTCCAGACCACATCTGTTTCTGCATTCCGAGCGACTATCCAGAGTGGATAGGTGTCTTGCCATATGTTAGATGGGCCAAGAATCAAACGTAGTCTCCATATGCACTGATTTGACGATACGCATGGGGATTTCGTCGTGACGCCTTTCGACGGCAATGGATTCACAGCTAGTATCGCATCTCGCCAGTGTGCTGTCCCTGTTCCTTCGTCCCGAATGCGGATAATTTCCACCAACCTCATTTCGATCACCAGCAAATGGCAGTTGATCAGTTTCCCTGGACAATATGCCTACTGACCGCCTGGAATTGAATCCCGGTATACTGAACGTCTGGCCAGACCTTTCCTTACCACAAGCCCACACCACGAACTTTGGGAGAATAGGAATCGACCCGGCAAGAATGACTGTAGAAATTTCTGCAATCCTACAGGAATAGCTTCCAGTCAGCAGGGATCCGGTCATAACTTAGCGAAGATTTCGATCTCACGTACGCCCAGAGCCCGACCGGTTCAATTCCCCAGGAAAAATCTTGGGTATGAGTCAGTTGGATACTATAGACCAGTCGGATGATACTGCTTGCAGAAGCGCTAGCAAGTCCGGTCAGCATTCCAATGGTTGCCAGATGTTTTCACGCGGCCCGAGGGGAAGAGGTTAAGGTTGGAAGACCACGTACAATATGCCAGATCCAAATGCAGCGCTGACTATGAGTTTGCTCTTCACAGGTAACTGCAACTGCCATACTGCAAATACCGGCAGTATTAATATGGTCACGTCAGAGACAATATTGATGACCGACGAAGCTATGATCGAACTGGTGGAGGAGATACAGTGGCCTGGTAGTTCCGGATCCCAGAGCTTCGCGCGCGGAATACAGCTGAGACCAAGAGCTAGGGCCAAAGAAAGATAACAGCAGATGTTTCCTCCAATCAGGACTTGTGTAAGCCAGTAAATCAAAGTTGTGCGGCTCACGACAAAGATTCGATTCAGTTGAAACAACACCGAGAGCTTTGCCATTAACATGACTGGACAGTAGATGACCTCGATGACATTGGAAAGCTGTCAACTAGTCAGCTGGATGCGTCATCGGGCTAGGGAAAATGTATGAAGATGGTTGAGAGCCCAACATACATTGAGAATTTGCTGAAGCTGCTCGATGGTTAGATTCCATTGATGAGTCCCTTGTCCTGAACGACCGCTGTCTACCAATACTGCTGAAAAAGCAACGAGGCCGGCGCCAGAGGAAATTAAGAGGTAGTCTTCAACCTGCATGTCTCGCAGTATATAGACCTTGGTGAAGACGCGCAACAGGAGAGCTAGCATCGTGAATGTGAGGCCCACCGCCACCGTGAGGACCGTATAGTGTTGTAACGAGTAAGGGTTCCGGAAGTTGCTGGCATATCCTGGAGGCGGGCTCAAAGCAGCCATGGCCTCAGATCCCGGCGCTACCATTGTGAATATCTTTCGAATAAACATTAGTGGTGGATATATCATGAGTATAGACTGCAACACACTCACAATTTATAATTGCACCAAGAGAGTAATGACCGCATCACAAAGATACCAGCTTACCGTGCTCATTCGGTCTATTGAAGTTTGTTTAGCAAGATATCATTAGCTTTATGCGTGACCCATTCCTATGGCGAATGAATTCCCATTATTAACCTCCACTTGATAGCACATACAGTATTTGTTTCCATTGGTGACCCCACTGATGGTCCAGAACTCGGTTTCGGAAGCCGACCTCAACCAGAGCTGATTGCGCGTTACGTCTTTCTCCGTATAATATTCAGCGGATCCCTCCCTTGCTATTGAACATCGAAGAAGCTCACCGAAGCTACGCACAATTTTCTGTTTTAGATTTGTTGTAAACTAAGGCTTGATCAATTACATGGCAAGAGCTACAATAGTGGAATTCCATCAATCTGATGGTTTTACTGTGTATATCAACCCTCAGTTTTCTTCGGAGTAAAGAAAGAAGAAACAATTACCATCTAAAATGAAAACAATATTAGCTGTCTGTCTTTCACTTCCGTAGTTTGCATGGCGCGATCGCAGACTGATTGCATGCTCATCTCTAGGGTACCACACCTAATTGTATGTGTTGATATGGTGGGCAGTAACCCAATACGGACCTAACTGCCTGCTTAATCTTAGCTGCTTGGCAGGAATGCTCGCCGAAATGGAATGTGGGCGTGGAGGCTTTTTTCTCCGAAACGTTGTCCTCGGCGCGCAGAGATTTGATCAGGTGGCGTCTAGAAAATACAGTGGGTTGTCGATCTTCATTTTAATATCAACAGGTATGGGTTGGTGATCCTCTCAATCGGGCGTACCGGGGAGTATAATTACCAACCACGGAAATCACCTGGTATGGATCTGAGAAATAGTGCTACTCTATACGAAGTAGTGATCATCGACTACGATCTTCGACAAAGTTCGGGGCCTATTAACCAGGGTTTGACAGGGACTCTCCACTAGATCGTAGCAAATCATCGGGTGCTTCACAATTTCCTAAACACCCCACATTAGTGCTAGGAATGGAGTATGGTCGAACCCGCCCGGGCCAACTTCTCCGAGCAGGTTGACCCCGGAAATTGGGGGCTTGGGTCCACTACTAGTGCCATGCTTTTTATTCACTCAAAGTTTAAAATGATTATCAACAAGAATTAGTGAACCTTGTCTTAGCGATGACAAGCTTGAAGCTGGACTTTTCGAAAGCAGTGGTCATTTTGCGCAGCCCTAGTTCTGACTAGGTTCAAGAAATCGCTTTCTGCAAACCTTCCTTTGCGTCTACTATGTCCAATAAATGGGAACATGTGTCGTAATTGGTGGTAATCTATACTATTATTTCCTCACTATATAGAACCATTCAAACTCCTCACTTCGCATTTCGCATTTCCAACATTTCACGGAATATAGATTGTGTAAAGCCTTTTGATACCAAGTTATAGGCTGCCTAGGCGACTATCATACGTGAGGAAATACAGGTTTCGTTGCAGGGAAGGTAGGCATTGCGTGCTAAGCGCCATTTTTACTTGCTAACTAGTCGTTTCGATTTTCATTTTAGATTAGAGAGGGGTAGGGTTGTATAAGAGCCATATGATAGACCGATATGAACCCTTCCTACCCTGAAAGCAGATGGTTCATCGCACTTCGCACTCCACAATGAAAATCTAGTTTAATTGATGGAACAGCTGGAACTTAACCATGTTTAGATAAAAATACAGTGCAGTCTTTTCATTTGTTATTCCGATACCAAAAAATCCGTGCATTTTAATCTCGCAATACAAGCTCGCCTTATCTGTTGACATGGAAATACGCCTTACATATCACTTGCCGCGCGAAACGACTTCTCAGATTACAGCCCTCTATGGTAGTTGCTTCTCACTGCGAGGTGTTGCAAATTTGAGAACTGTGTGCAAGTCTTCACTGAAGATGACTATTTCTTTGTTTTAAGTAGGGTTTAAACTATATCTGTTAGGATATGAATGCCTGCAGATACCAAAATTTGAGTAAGTTGGGGAAGGAGAAGAAGGGTGTTTTGGATCGCCTACAGACGATTTCACTCTCAAGTGGATCATTCAATTTGACCAGTAAAACACACGTGTTGGTTATTTCCAGGTCCCACTGCTAAGCTCTAGGCTCAGAGCGGAATGAAACTGATTGGTGGCTTTGTCCTTATCTAAAAATGGATGCCTAATCAAAGGAAATGTAATCTGCCCTGAAGCCTTGGCAGTGGAGTAAGCGAACAATCATCATCTGTTTGTTGGTCAAACAGATTTCGAGAATGACTGTACCGGTCTGTCACACGCCACTTTCCCCTGGCACGGATCGGCAGGTGGCTTGTTGGCTATTTAGGCTTGTAAAGAGTAGTCACAAGTCTATTTCTGGACGATCAAAGAATCATCTCTTTTAACCTCATCAATTAACGCTTGTATAGGGGATCACCCAGTCAATTGTTCATTGATTATAAGCGCCTTGAGGTTACACAAATCCCATCAAATAATCAGCACACTACCATATTTCTTGAAAAGTGCAATATGAATATTTCTAAAGATAATATTAGCTTCATAAAACTTCATAATATCGCGCCATATCTCGTCCGATAAGAAATTAAGACATTGAACAGGATGAATACTAGGATTCTTACTCAACATATGATTATACTGATTATCAATAATTTCCAGATTCTAATTATCAACTCCACAGTTCATATAGATTAGAAATAAACAGAAAGTCTTTCTAGTTAATATATCTAGTCAAAACCAATTATCTAGAGTCAACCCTCGCCAATTTCTATATGAACCGCCACAGTCACATATAAAATCAACATTAGCGACTTTCTCATGATAACAACAAGGTTTTCCAATAACGATGCCATATCCGGCGTGATTTTTAAGCAAAGCGGCGTTTGAGTTAGTGTTACGCCTCAATATACATCAACTCCATTCGAAAATCAGTCAGAATAGATAGATAAATGCTTTTAGATAGCTTCAAATCTTTAAAATAAAAGAGAAAGTCCTCATCATCATCAATTTCTAAACCTTTTAAATCTAAAAGCGTATTAACGTCCCCATCATCCTCATATAGACGATTTTCAATCACTAAAGCATATATATTCTTCTTAATATTGTCAGGATCGGTGTACAGCACTAAATTATCAGCTTTATCATGAAAACAGATTGCTTAATCCACTAATAAGGTTATACTGAATTGTTCTAGATTCTCGACTTATAATGCTATACTAGAAAGGTTTATTGACGCCAGTATAAAAGGCATCAGAAAGAGCGATTCAGACATTTCTACAACACCAAAAAACATTAATTTGAGAGTTTTAGATAGTTTAATATAAAGTCAACTTGATTTATGCACCCCCCAGGGTGGCAGCCTGGGGGGGTGCGATTTGTTAGTATTGGCAAGGAGCGGTGAAAGACTTGAAAATTCTCATAATTCAAAGAAACGATCAATACTACTAGTAAATTATTAGAAAAGCTGATTACACGCCTTACTCAAAAAGAATTAGTGTGGGTGTACGCTGTAATATGTCGGGTGCACATATCAACTCCCTTCCAGAAAGGTAGGGCGTGTTTCCATATCAACTCGTGAAGAGTTGGAGTGCGAAATGCGAAATGCAAAGTGCGAAGTGCGACGAACCAGGCAAAGCTGGCTTGGGGGAATTTGCTTACGCTAAAGTGCTCCACTAGCGAATGGATAGACCTGGAACAGAATGCCTAGTGGTACTGCATTGCTGAAAGCAAAGCTTACTATCATTGCCTAACCAAATATGTGCTAGCGTCCCGCATAAACACTTCTAAACTGGCACAGAACAACACAAGCCGACTTGAAAGTACAAACCACCCAATCCAATATCTACTCTATCCACGTTTGCTCTCTCAACATTTCCTCAACGTTTCAGGGCCACAGCGGGCGGGGAGCACACGTCACTAGTTATCACATGATATACCGCGTGACGTATGTCACGCAATGCTTGAGTTGATATCGTAACAACTAGTCGTAATACAACTAGTGACGCGTGCTCCCCACCCGCTGTGGCCCTGAATCGTTGAAGGGCGGAGTCGTCAACTGGGAAAGGAAAAATGGAAACAGGAATGGCGCGGCGCAACAGCACACTCACGTGACTGTATTCCACGTGACAGTAAAGCACGTGAGGCTGCATCGAGTTGGGCCAATGAGAGAGCCGTCTGGGTGGTCTTGGCGCGAGATTTTGCAGGGCGACACGGCAAACGAGACAGCAGGCTTGGCACGTCCTCCCGCAGGATAGTATCCCTTCCTCTCCCTTCGGTCGTTTCAGGGCATTCCCATCCTCCAGCAGCTGAATTAATTTTTGTGGTGTCCGACCAGGGGGAGAAGAACCCCATTAGCGATAATAGATACGCATTGTATTCTGGAAGCGGATGACCTGCCATCGGATTAAGCCGTACTAGGCAGTAAGGTTCCAACGATCAAATTGTATTCTCGGTCCTTTCTCATGTTTACGTAGAAGTAGGTAATAGTGTTCTCAGTTAGCGCAAAATATGTTGGAACACCAATAAGGCTTGGATGACTAAAAAGCGTTGACTAGGGCAGATGGAAGTAGCACTTGATTTAATCCTGCTAGGAAGTTGGAAAAACACCTAAATCTCTAGAAATAACATCTCGCAATAATTTCCATGATTTTTTATCACGCTCAAATCTTAGGATGATTATTAATGTAGCGTATCAAATTATTTCGATATACATAATGTGCTCACTCAGACCTTTAATTCTTTACAATCTGTCCAACCCTACTCCGCCCAGACAACACTAGACAGTCCATTGGAGAGCCCAGGGTTCCCAACCTGCAGTTGCGCGACAAGCTTGCCTAATGCACCCGACTTCGGATCACGCTCGACAATTGCGACATCTGATGAAGCCTGGTTTCCGATAGCGAGCAGTGTGCCAGCCTTGTTAATCACGCATGTCCTTGGCGTCTTCCCATACGACGAAGTCAAGGTCTTGTACGTAGCATCATCCGTCCTAGATGTCTCGAGAAATGCTATTGAATCATTCGGCGGGAACGCTTGGTCATTACGTACCGAGACGTATATATCTTTGCCGCCCACGATGCGGATCTCAGCGATGGTCGCCGTGTTGGGTACGTCTTTGGGATAAGGCGTTACCTCGCCGGCATCTCGCAGGGCCAGACAGCCCTCGCTGTAAGTAGCTGTGTAGATACCAACAGTATTTGCTAATTCATTAGAAATGTATAGTATGGCGCTTTTCTCACTATTGCTGCCTGTAGTCCATGCGCCATGTCGCGGCCCATTTCCGCCCTTTACTTTGAATTGGCTGCATTCATGTAATTTACCCGTCGCCTTGTCGATCGCGTATATGTGAATTATGTCCATACCCAGATCAGGTGCGAGCACGTATGCTCCTGTCGGGTCCAAAAAGACCTCATGTGGATGCGGTGCGTCCTGGCGCGACGGGTCGGTCGCGGGTTCAGTGAGCACGTATTCAAAGGTTTGCAATGCCGTGGACCTGGGCGTGAGCGGGAGCTGAAATGTTGACACGGCTGATCCTTCGCTGCTAGAGTCAATATTTATCCAATCATATAGAGACGAAAAAGGACATACTAGTGCGCAATAGCCAAATATCTCCGATGACAATCACCTTCATAAATCACACTGGCAACACCACCAGGTAACGTCTCCGTCGTTGCCTCCTTAGTCAGTGCACTGGAGCCTTTATTTCTCGTGTCCACAACGAAGCTAGACAAGGTCCCATTGCCAGAATTGGCACTGGATCCGGATTCGTCGACGCAATAGAGCATGGCTGTCGCCGCGTCGTAGGTTAGCCAGCTGGGCATGCTGCCGCAGGCTTGTAGAGAGTTGGATTGAATGAGATGGCCACCAGATGCGTTTAGATTGAGGGTGAAAACGTGTCCATCGTAGTGGGAGACAAAAAGAGTTGACAATGCCGATGCGGCTGCAAACATAAAAGAGGAGCAGGCGGCGAGGTAAGAGAAGACAGCCATGATGAGTATGTTCATTGTCGAGAACGTAGCGCTTAATTGAATTCGTTAGTTCAGTCCTGTTCAGGTTTACCTTGACCAGCTCCTTGTTGGGATGTGCAGTACCAGGGGTGTGGATTATTTATACAATTCATCAGAAATATCAGTCAGCAACCAGAAATAGCGGATCATTAATTCTACAGTACTGTAATAGTGCCCAATGATACGAAGTTGGGATCGGCAAAAGTTGGCCGGCCGGCCGAAGACATTTCTCCATTTAGTGTACACCGGTCATCCAAGCCAGCTAGCGTCAACTACAATGAAGCATTTTTTATCACTAGACAATCGTTGCCAGCCGAGAGGACAGCCTTGAAACTGGTCTGAGTTATCTTCGCCCAGGAGACTCCTAGGTAAAGTGTGCCCACCTCAAGATAGGAGTCAACCCGATCGATCATCTAGACAGTAATGATATGGAGATTGCAATGGCTGACTTCGAAGCAATTAATCCGGCAAAAGAAACTCTGGCGTCGGTGATTAGACCATCGTCTGAGCGAGACGCTGCAGAGAGGGCACTTGTGAAGAAAATCGACCTGCGGTTACTGCCAATCATTGTGATTATGTATATTTTGAACTACCTTGATAGTGAGTTTTCAATTATACAGAATATTGTTTTTTGGTCATGCTGACTATATATAAGGGAATAATATCGCAGTCGCGCGACTGGCTGGGCTAGAGGATGATTTGCATTTGGTTGGCAATCAATATCAGGTAAGTCGCCATGCCAGTGTACGGTTTCAAGCGATAACTGACACACTGTAGACTGCAGTTAGTAGTCTCTTCGTTGGCTATCTGTTGGTGCAGGGCAAGTCGACAAACTCACTCTCTGTGATCGATTGACCAACCTAATTATCAACAGTCCCATCCAACCTATTCTTGAATAAATTAGGTAAACCAGCCATCTATCTTCCCACTGCAATGACCGTATGGGGTATTATATCCACTGCCACGGCCGGTGTCCAGTCGTATGGAGGTCTGATAGCGGTTCGGTTTTCGCTCGGATTTGTCGAGGCTGCTTTTTTCGTGTGTCTCTCTCTTTGTACGTACCCCTTTCATGTAGTATTTTGGCTGACTATTTTGACTAGCCCGGTTGTTTATACTATCTCTCTGCGTGGTATACCCGTAGAGAACTTGGCCTGCGCACAGCCATACTTTACTGTGGCTCTCTGGTCTCTGGGGCGTTCTCGAGTTTAATTGCTGCTGGTATCACGGGCCACATGGATGATAGATGTGGTCTTCGCGCATGGTACCTTCTTCCCCTCCTTCCTTTATCAAGCTAACTAATTGAATATTTAGGAGATGGCTATTCATCATCGAAGGTGCTATCACAGTCGTAGTTGCCGCAATATCCGCACTAGTCCTCCCTAATCTCCCTCGAACCACGGACTGGCTCTCTGAAGAAGAGAAAAGATTGGCCGCCTGGCGCCTCGAAGAAGATATTGGCGAAGATGATTGGGTTGACAGCGAGCATCAGACCTTGCTGCATGGTGTCAAAATGGCGCTGGCTGATATGAAGACGTGGATATTGGTATGGCATTAGACCCTCCTCTTCTCTTCTCTTGACTAATACCATGGGCAGGTAATCATGGTGTTCTGCACCGTCTCCTCTGGCTCCGTGACCAACTTCTTCCCGACAGTAGTACAGACGCTACAATACGGAAAAATCGAAACTTTGTTACTTACCGCACCTCCTTACGCTCTTGCCGTGCTAACGGCGCTCGCAAATGCCTGGCACGCAGACCGTACAGGAGAGCGATATTTTCATATCACTGTCCCATTATATGTCTCCATCATTGCATTCGTCATTGCTGCTACAACGACTACTCCAGGACCACGATATCTGAGTATGATGTTAATGGTTCCCGGCATATATACTGGATACGTAGTCGCATTAGGGTGGATTTCGAATATTTTACCCCGTCCACCGGCGAAAAGAGCGGCAGCATTGGCGTTTATTAATGCCGTTAGTAATGCAAGCAGTATTTATGCAAGTTATATGTACCTGGACTCCGCTAGTCCGAGATACGGTACATCTCCTTGCTCTATTCCTTCTTTTCGGCCAGACTATATTAATTTTGAAATAGTAACTGCGATGTCAGTTAATTGCATTACCTCATTCGCTGCAATCCTCTCTGCAACCGTGCTGCGATTCGTCCTTGTGCATCTGAATAAGAAGCTTGATGACTGTGAATCTGTGCAGATCGCTGTGGCTGGTGTTTTAGAACGCCCTGGGCGTCGAGGATTCAGATTTTTGGTTTGATCGTGCTAGACAAGTCCAAGGGCAAGTACATCCCCTAAATTGGTCAAAAGCGGATTGATTATTTTATACAATGGAGTTGCGCAAATGAATTGATATATGTTTAGTAGAGCAGGCTTCCTTGATTCCTTGAAATGCCGACGATATTAATCCAAGTTTTTCGTGTAACCTCTAGGGACATGGAATAATCAATAGAAACTCAATACAAAAAGAGATGGGGAGGCGCAGCCAATGATTCAGAGTCGAATACTTCCCTCCTTTATACCAAGGGCGGTACTAGTACCGCCATTTAATTTTGTTAGCACTAGTATTATACTAGGTAAATAAGAGTATTACTATTTATTTATTTATAATATTTTCTATATATATATTTTCATAAGGATAATAGTTCTAATTTAGATCTATTATAATTAATACTTTAATATATTATCTATAGTAAAAATAATAAATTGTAACACGGTCTTGGCAGGGCCGTGGCCGGGGGTGTCCGGAAAGACTATATGTGGGCGAGTTGAAGCTTCACCGCTTAATGTTGATGCTATAGAGCAAAGCTACTAGGGAGGGAGTTATCGGTTTTTGTTATATAGTTATGGTAGGCTTTGATCCGAAGGCTATTCGAAACCGAGTAGTCTTATATTGAAAGTTATATCAAAAATTATACAAAAGATATTGCTTGGTTTCCTCCCTTCGGGTGGGAAACCAAGCCTAACCCACAAAATAACCCTAAGACGAGGCGGCCGAAAGTGCCCTGGATATCAAAGTCGCTTAAAATTCGTCAATGAAAGTGTCAAACCTCGAGGCCAGGCACGTCGCAGGAAATCCCTGTCTTCGACAGGAGCGGTGTGGGAATTGTCCTCCATGTCCATCTATGGAGAGACACTTCCTCATCACATCTCGTTTCCTGCCGAACATAATGCGGTTGTGCCACAGACTGACAAATTCAACCAGATACATCAAGATAGTCTGTCAGACTTCGATTTTCGCTCTCTTGATGTGCTTATGTGGAACGGCTTCCCTCCAGAACTACGAAGCCTCGAGCAAAAGGGTATTGTCGCTTCGTTTGTGCAAGATCTCTTTCCACTCGGCCAATTAACTGCGCAACATTCTTTTATCGGAAGCTGGCTCTGGCATGTCCCGGAGGTTTTACACGAGAATTATGCCATGGATATAGCCGTAGAGTCATTGGCATTAGCTTACTTTGCGAAGAAGGCCGGTTCTACAGAGATGCTTATCCGGAGCCACAACGCATACGCAAATGCTCTTGTGAGTCTGTCAGGCGCTCTCCAGGACCACCGTTTGCGATTGACATCTGAAACGCTGTGTGCTACCCTTCTTCTCGTACATTTTGAAGCGAGAGAATCTCATTGTGTCTGTTGAACTATGAACTCACCTTGTTTAAGAATTTCGTGACTATGCGAGGCAAATCGTGGATCACATATGCCGGCGGCGCCGGACGCCTTATCCAACTTCGTGGCCCTGATCGCCATCGCTCTGGTTTTGACTCCACCATGTTGATGGCTTCCCGAGGATATTTGGTTTGTCTTCCTAGACAATGGCGAGCAAAAGGACTTCGACGTGAGATGGCTGCCCAAATGAGTCCAAACGAAGAAGATCTGATTGCCAGGCACAAGCTCAAAGTTACGCCGACAGAGATTGCGACGATTCCTCTTCTAGTCATAGAGCCTCCCAACCTAGCCAGTGAACACGAAGGCAAGATCTTGCTCAACTTCTTCGGTGGCGGAGTCATCATGGGCAGTGCTCGCGAAAGAGCGGCGCTGCTTATGGCAGCAGAGATGCGTATTCGCGTTTATTCCGTAGAGTACTCCAAGGCACCCGAGTCTCGATACCCGGTAGCCCGTGATGAGGCGTTCGCCGCCTATCGTGAACTGGTATCCCGATTCGGAGCGAAGAATATATATGGAATGGGTAGTTCTGCGGGAGCGCAAATTTTGGTGTTGATGCTGCTTGTAGCGCACTCCGAAGGGATTCCAATGCCTGCACGTCTATTCCTCTGCACTCCTGCTCTTGATCTCAGCGGTGCTGGAGACTCCATGGTGAGCAATGAGGGCAGGGACATCATGCCGGCCAGTTTCCTTTCTGCCATGGTGCAGCGAAATTACCAGCCCAATGATATAGATCTCACAGATCCATTATACTCGTCATATATGCCGATTACGATGCTTCATTTTCCCCAACCGTTATATCGGTGGGAACATGTGATCTGTGCTTGAGCAGTGGTATTCGAATGTATTGGAAGCTAAGAACTGCTGGTCTCTGAGGGTATGTTGCACGGATTCAACTGGAGTGAGACTTTACCGGAGGCTTTTCAGCTTCGTAAGACTGTCGAAGAGTTTTTGGCTTCAAGCTTGTAGTTCCCATGCCAACTAGGTCACCTACGCGCCTCCTGAATCAGATCGGAGAAGGCCAATCCCGTAAGTCGAAGGCCTGAATATTAATGTGAACGTTACAAGGCGCTTCAAATATCGATTTATCTATTTCGACTAATTCGGGGGTGAATTAATTATCTATATTGATATTAATAGAAGCATTGAGAGTTCGTTCCGAAGTTTAATTCTTACTCGAATATAAGTCTACTGGCAAAACTCCTTCACAAACTCAACAAAAATACGCTCTACCTGCTGAATACTCCCCACATCAACATACTCCTCCTTCGCGTGCAATCTCTCACCTTTCGGCCCAAATACCACAGACAGAATCCCCACTTCACTCAGAAAGGCAGCGTCGCACCAGAACGGAATTGATATGATATTAGGCCTTGTGCCCAGGATTTGGGCTGCTGATGCGGCTACTTTCTGCATGAATGGGTGTGTGGGTGGTAGTTTCTTGGCAGGCAAAAAAGTGTGATTTGCAGGTTAAAAGATTGAAAGGCTGGTTTTTTAGATCTGATTATATTAAGAAGAGTTTGTATATTATTAAGAAGGGTTCCATGAGCTTGTGAGGGGATGGCTTGAAATTCAATTGTGAGGGATATTTTAACTGGATAAGATAATGGCTCTTCACTGCTATAGATCAGACTGCAGTGTAAGATTACTTGGCTAAGTATATTATCTGTAGGGAGTGCTTATTGATATTCTTTGAGGGAATTTAGGAAGGCACTAGCATGCATGATTGAGTCAATCTTTATACTGGGCAACTGCCAGGAAAACTTTTAGAATGGTTTTTTTCTCTTTTAGTTGTCATAGTCCGGGAAACTCCTGTAGTACGATGTATGGGATTTCGACTGACCTAAGATTATTGGACCTACTAAGATTATTGCATAACTGGGAGCTTGTATAGGGTGACCAGTCGTTCATTATTATTTGATTATCGCTGAAATCGAGTCATCGGTTTTGTGGAACAGGTTCCTTTTGGATGATATCAAGACTTAATCGAGGTTACAAAGGAAGTTTTATGGGGAATGTCAAGCGATTATATCCTTGAATTCATCTACTTCAATAAAAAGTTGAATTAATATAAAAATGGATATTCTGTAATTGGTACAACTAGAAGAAGTACAGGAAATGTTTAGGAATAAATCTCAAGATAGCCAGTATTCTCACCCACATCTAGCTATCCAAGAGCTGGCAGGATAAGAAATCCATCCAATGCGCAGGGCTAGAGAAATAATGCTAAGCAGGCCACGATTCGAATGTTGTTTCCATTTCAACGGACTTGAAAACACGCATTAGAACTTTACATTCTGAAAATACACCGTCGCTAGTCCCTTGTCTCAAACCTGAATAAGTCTGATCACCGATATCCGAAAGAGGCACGCAATCGGCCCCCTTTCGGAATGCTTTTCTTGTCCAGTTGACAGAGGGATTAGGTATCTTGGATTGAGAACGAGACATTTCCTGACCGCGAGCCCACCCTATAAACTTGGGTATAATCGGTATCGATCCTGCGAGAATGATGGTTGCTATTTCGGCGTAGCTGTAGGAGTAAATTCTATCATCAGCAAGGTTAAGCTGAAGTTGGTGGGAACTGCTCGTATCACATACGCCCACAGGCCCACGGGAGCCATATTCCAGCTGAAATCCTCACTGTGGACCAATTTAATGCTGTATACGAGTCGGATGATTCTACATATGGAGGCACTGATAGTGAAACCAAGTCAGTACTAGTTTCATAGGGATTAGCAGAGGGGTAGTTTCCTTACAAAATGCCAGACCCAAAGGCGGCGCTAACCACCATTTTACTCTTGACTGGCAATTGCAGTTGCCACACCGCAAACACTGGAAGAACCAGGATTATCACGTCGGATATGATGTTGATGATCGCTGACGCGACAACCGACGCGTTCGAATCGATACAATGACCCGGTAGATCCGGCATCCATATCTTTTCGCGCGGGACACAAGTGAGGGCGATGGATAGGATCAGCGCGACATAGCTACAGAAATTGCCCACAATGAAGATGTAGGTGAGCCAGAAAAATTGTGATGTTCGGCTCACAACAAGATCCGCTTCAGCTGAATCAGCACCGAAAGTTTTGCTGGCAGTATGACCAAGCAGTATACAAGCTCAAGAACATTGGTAAGCTGGTGGCCAGTTAGTAGTGTGGACGGCGAAGCGGATCCGGGTGGGATCATACATTGAGTGTTTTCAAGAACTGTTTAACCGTTAAGTTCCACTGATGGATACCCTGTCCTGTGTGAGATGCCACCACCAACACTGGTGAGTAGCCGATCAAGCCAGCGACAGAGAGAATTAAAAGGTAGTCTTCAATCTTCATCTGTCGTAGGGTGTAGGTCTTGGTGAATACGCGCAGTATTAGAGGCAATATCGCGACTGTGAGGCCTAAACCAACAGTAAGCGCTGTATAGCTTTGGAAATTACGAGGATTGTGAAAGTCGCTGACTTGCCCCGGAGGGGGGTTAGCGCAGGCATTGTATTGAGATCCATGGTATTGTGTATAGCCGTGATAACAGCAACTGTTTTGCGAGTAAGCGCGCGATAGCAGAGTCGATTTATAATGCACATTTGTTCCCCATCGCATGCCACAGCCTTGGTCAGGGGCTGTCACTAGTAGATGATCTTGGTTTGCCACTGGATCTTGTTGGATTGGCAATGATGGTAATCTTGCCCGATTGAGTATCGAGTCGGCGTCGAGTCGGCGCTGACTGGTCCTCCAATCCAACACATCTATTGTCTAACACATTTATTGAAGTCTATCCTGCTTACAGTCTTTCACTATCTCAAATGCTGAGCCGACTATGGTGCTTGTGAAAGGGCGCCACTAGAATTTTCGGAAGCTTGTATGGTTATCATAATCTTCTAGTCTGAAATGGCAAGAAATAGAAATGGGCCGACTCTGGAGTTAAACAGTAATTACAGTTCCATTATCCGCGTCTAGACCCTGACTAATTCTAGTCCGCGGGAAGGGCAGAATCGGTTAGCCCATCACGCGGAATCTCCGGCTCCGAGGGCGGAGTACTCCGCTACCTACTCTCAGTACGGCTAGATCCGAGCTCAGGCAAATCATACGCTTTCCCGAAGAAAACGACCACCTGGTGCGGGGTGCTGATCGGCCAACGATGAAGCGGGGTTTCGGAGTGTATCCGGAGATTACTTTGGATCCACTACCGTTTGATGGGCTTCTCCACCATGTGGAACGCCACAAAGGTTTATTTAGTCAACAAACGGCCAGTCTCAACTTTGAGACAGTAGGTAGGATAGAGTTCAATAGACCCGGTGGGTTATCTCACGGGGCCCATGATCAAGGCCTATGCCATGGTCTATTGCGGTATTTCATTCATTACAATCCATCCCCTGGCTAAGCTTTAGGTCGGAATATAGTGCACAACAGTCTCGACTCCAATAAATCCATGGGAAGAAACAGGTTGTTGTACAAGGGCTTCTTCACTTCGTGTAACGCCACAAGGGTTAATTCAATCAACAATTCATGTTTCGCTGAGGTAACCGGTCGATCTGACCGAATGCGGTAAATGCTTCGATAAGTAGGTGACAGGTGGCGTGATACGGTATTGGCGAGCGTATAGGAATGGGGACATCATTCAGAGAACGCAAACTGGTGGCTTATTTTGAAATCTATCTATTTATTCTACATTTTTGAACACTAATTTCGCCTTCAATATGCGTCTCCCTACTATCCTGGCACTTCTATTTCGCACTACAGTAGCTCCTGTAGCTCCGCGTAGGGAGAACAGTATTTTGACAGAAATAAAAATAAAAGAAATGATGGTCGGCGTGCTTTTCGGTGTTCATTGTCGAGGACAAAAATGATCGGGGCCGTGGTGAATACTGTCACCTTCTGAATACTGTTGTCTGGCTAGTTATGCTGAGTGCCTGAAACGCTTAGCAAATTTTGATACGGTTTTGTTAATACGGCGTATTCAAAGTATGGTTATCATGTTATTAGGGCAGATCCTACAAATTAGCGCGCGGAAAATAGTCGGCCACGTCAATAAGCTCAGACTCAGAATTGCTTTAACAACCTTATTGTTGATCAAAGACAACTGTTTATTATATGTAATTGGAAGGGATTCTTATAGCAGCGACATGTACAATCACATTAGTTATGATACCCTCTACCAGGATGTAGACTACAATCTACATATTAGTTAGAACGAGATGATGTTATTCATGCAGCTACCTAATCTTCTTATCATTGCGACAGTGTCATACATGCTCACAGCTGATTCGCCCACTTCCCCTTTGAACTGATCTGTGTTGTTGTGTTGACATATCTATCGGATACCTACCTCCAGCCTTAACCTCCGCGATTATAGTCCACGCTTTGGACACCATATGCCATTGTAATCGCTGGTAGAATTTGTCATGTGGTTGATCAGTGCTATCATCACGGAGGAACATGAAGTTAATTTCCTCTAGAGATAAGCCCATCATCTCGGGATAGAAAAGCCAGACGATTGTGGCACTGATCACGTTGAAGATGACGAATATAATAAATGTTTTGTAACCGATGTTTTGCAACGCAGGAGGAGTAATCTCCGCAACCTATTCTCGAATTAGATATCTACCTTTTGGTAGCGAAAATTAGAGCGACCGTAGATTTACCAAAAAGTTACCCAAGAAATCAGCCCCTGCAGCTAGGGCAGCTCCTTTAGCTCGGGATGTCACTGGCAAAATCTCGGCTGGATAGACCCAGACACACGCCATCCATCTTGTTCGGAGGCTGTAGATTAGAATAGACTCATGGAAGAATATCTCTGGATGCACAATTGTATCATACCCCAACTAAAGCAAGATACAAATGCAAAAACAAAGAACACGGCCGCAATGCTAGAGGCTCGGTTGTTTATTGCCACACAAATGGCCTCCAAAACAAGCACCGCGGACATGCCAATAGCCATCATGACAAGGAGTCGGCGCCGGCCAACAGTATCAATGATACGCCACTGTACGACTTGCGATCAGTAAGAACTGTAGGTGGAGTAGGAGCTAAAATAACACTCACCGTCAAGAAAGAGGCAATGATATACCACATGTGGAGAAAGCTGCCGATAAGAAGGGCATTCTTCTTGTCCATGCGTAGATTTTCTTTGAAAAGAATGGGGCCATAATAAGTGATGATGTTAATTTCTTTCATGATATTCAGTTTAAATGAGGAGCGCTCTCAGGGTCTTACTGGGGAAGTACCTGTCATCTGCTGCATAAACTGGATACCGATAGCAAGATGGAATCGCTTGTTGGCCCTGACTCCTCTATCCTGAAAGAGATCGATCCAGGATCTGCCTTCATCAGATTCAAGCTGGATTGCTGTGGAAATTTCTTCTCGCTCCTGTAGAACGAGTGGGTGATCGATTGGCCGGTTACGTAACTTGGCGAGCACTGCAATGCCACGATTTGAATGGGGCTCGTTCCACATGAGCCATCGAGGGGTGTCCGGCAAGAAAGTAGTGACAATGAGAATGTAAACAGCGAAAATCAACTGGAAGAGCAGCGGAAATCGCCACTGAAGAACACTAGAGCAAAAGAACAGGCCATAATTTATCCAGTACGCTACCATGAGGCCGAATAGCATCATCGTCATTTGGCAACAAACATGCCAGCCTCGTTGTGAAGCGAAACATACCTCACTTTGATAAACGGGTGCAACTAAAATCGTATAGCGATTAGCATCGTGTCAAAAAGGGCCACGAGCGTTGGGGTCGATGTTTACCAGAAACCATGTAACCAGTTCCTACAGAAATACGAGTTTATTAGCGGAATTCGGACGCCAACCTTTTGGGAATGAGGCATAGTTTATACCTATACCTGTCAATACTCTTCCGATCATCATCTGCACTCTCTCAAAGCATGATCCCATCAAAACCGACCCGACGATAATAAAGACTGAACCTAATAATACCATATATTTCCTCCAAGCGATTCCGTTAAAAACGCCGCAAGAAGCGCACCTAACAGAGCACCAAGATCGTATAGTGCTGTGATCGTGCTGACCATGATTGTCGATGGATTACCCATTTGTTCTAGCCAATATTGTGATATGACGATGCCGGACATAACACCCTGATTGTGGCCAAATAGTAGAAAGGAAAAGGAACAGACGGTGATGATGGTGTTGATTAGGACTGGGCCTTTCAGCCGTGCAGCCCCGGTGCGGTTGCTCATGTTGGGCATATTATTATCGGAAACTTAGTGATAGTTCCTCGTGAGGATATATAACCGCTCAATGTACTGCAGATTACGGTACGTGTGGTTGGATGCCGGGATTGATTTGCTGGTTGATCCGACAGCAACCAGGTGAGAATACCTAATGCGCCCAAAAATCCGTGTTATCTACCCGCCGGTTACAAACCCACTATCAGATAATACGGAAATATGCCATACATACCTAACTAATCCTCCTTCCCATATGATTTCACCTAGATAGTAATCTATTGGAAAACCCCGTCAAATTTGGCCATTTTGAAGCTGTTCGTGACTCGTTGACCATTACTGAATACGAGGTAGGACGTTCTTATAGGTGAGCTATACAGCAAATAGCAATATCTAAGCCGATACAGATGCTATTCCTCGCCAACAATTGATCATATCTTTTGCTTAATATCTCACCACTTCCTTGTAATTGCCATCCTATCTCAAGTGGACCATTCAATTCGACACGCAGGAGTCGTGTTGCCGGCCGTGAGCGGCATGACCTTTGCGGGATTACCCTCCTCCCCCCTATGGGATTCGATTAGTCGGAGTGGTTTCTAAGGCTAGCACAATCGCGCCGGCCTGTCCCTTCCCCTCTAGCACGGATCGACAGGCGGCTTCTATTCCTGGACGATAGAGGATATACGTGTTCAATATGGTGACTGACCAAACATTAGCCAAAAGTTAATCAGAAAGTCAATAACACTATCCTTGTCCGGGCTTGTTCGGTCAACAGCAACATTGTGAATTACCTTCCTAATCGGGGCTTAGATTCATCTAACATATGGTCATATCACTCTCACACCTCCGTCATAGTTTCTCGTTCATTGGCATCCAGCCCCTGGTCGCAAGTTGGGCTGTTCATTATGTTCGCCGGTCCTATCTTCAGCAAATTATCGGTGCAGGCTGGCTCGCATGCGCTTACAAGCATACGGTGGACCTAGTCAACAGGGTCTAAGTAGCAGTCTATTGTGGTCCCGCTTGCCGCTGTCACTATTTCTACACGCTGGAAAGGAATGATAACCGTCTATCATTAAACTACGTCATTTTTGCTAGATAGGTTCCTGACACCCCTAGTATTCACATCCTAGTATCTTCGCGGTGTCTTTGATTGTGAAAGACTATTTTAAGTGTCTTCATCAGTGGCTGAACCAGTCCAGGGGGTAGCTACAGGAGACCAAATCTTGACTCCATATTCGAGTTATGGATATAAAAGTGAAACTCATATCTCTTTGCGTATAATATCGTCTGTCACTCACATTTTACCATCCAATCGACTATACAGTTTACATTGTCGATATTATACACGAGCAGATTGTCATCAACTGCGACTAAAGCAGGCGACAATAGCAGACCTTGTTCCACTCGGAATGAACGCCACCTTCACAACAATGGCCGGAGCATGTTTGAATTGCCACCGGAGGAAAACTAAGTGTGAGAGGCATGGTCGGCCTTGCGCCAATTGCGAAAACGTTGGTCGACCATGCATAGTGCGATCAAGAAAGCAGCCGATAGTATGTTGCAGGTGCCGTAGCAAAAAGATGATATGCGACGTACCAATAAACCAAGGAACATGCATCAGTTGCGACGAATTGAATATCACATGCTTGGATAAAAATTTTGCCGGAGAAGCGATTGAATGTCCATTTTGCCACCATTCATTCGAGGGTTCTTTGCTTTCTTATCATGAGCGTACATGCAATTTCAAGCAATCGAAGTATCAGACAGGACAAGGTCCTGATCCCGAGGTCAAGTCACCCGATGGAATAAATACAAAATATCAAATCGACATCGTTCGCAATGTATCCGAATTGATCAGTACGGCATTGTGTTCTCTAAATATCGACGACAAGAGAACGTTAGTTACTAAGAAGTAAGTGTGTTCAAGTATTTTTTTATATCAAACTTCATGTTAACGTAATCAGGCACGAGATTAATGCACAGGTTAAGGGCCTTGGTAAGGCCAAATACTGGTTGTTCTCCTCAATTATAGCTTGGAGACAATCATCTGTCGCAAAAGAGAATTATGATGTCTTCTTGAATCAACCACCGGTTGAGCAGTATCGCACTTTTCTTTTACTATCGCTGGGGTCTGGATCCAGCCGCAATTTAATCCTCTCTATCATTCACTTACTCACCTTGATATGCCTTATTCCGAATCAAGATGATGGTGTGGAGGGCGAAGGACCGCCTAATTGGATAAGCGACATCTCGCTAGTTTATGAAGTACTTGGTGGTAGAGGTTCGTTATTCAAGTCTGATGTGAGTTGCGTTCTCCTCCGCCTTGGCTGGCGAGCGTCGCACGCCTTAAGACATTCGGAATCCCAGGTCCTGCGTGAATGTTTACAGTTACCAAAACTGGATAAGCAACATGACATCTTCGACCGCTACGTGCATATGTGGTTTTACAAGTCACAGTTGCCCGATTACGCGATGGCCGCCGCGCTTTCCCGACCGCAGTCATGCATGATATTCATGGACCATGCAGAGGATATTTTTCAAAATATACTTACCCTACACCAGGGAAGACGTTTCCATGATGAATCGAGAAGCTTGGCTGCAGCTGCACAAGAGACAGTCAAATCTTTCTTCCGCGACGGGTTGAAATGGTCGCTGAAAGAAAGATCTCTCGAAAACATCATTATTTCATTCAATATTAGCCTGGACCAGCTAGAAGTCGAAGAAGCGCTCAAAGCAGCCGTAGCTTTGCTACGCAAGATGCGACTTTTTTTCCAATGTATACCCAGCGACCTGTACGTGGATGAGAATCCAGAGCAATGCATCCTAACATTTGCAGAGCTATTCAGCGAGCTCTCAAAACTATGGCGGAGAATATTCTTTCTCGTTGGAAAATGAGTGATTATTGATAGTCTGTAGTTGGTCTTTAGCCTGGGAATGAATTCTTCATATTTTGTAAAAGTGATGGTGTGACGGTTCGGTTGTAGGTCCGGTGATTGTCACTTAGTTTTCTCACGAGGAGGCACCATAATAATGACTGGTCCCATCTCAGATAGTGATGGAAGGGGTGGCATGCAATGACCAGTATACATTGGACATAATCATCCTTTGGTGCCAGCCAAAAATGATACACGAATTGGGAGGTATATTTATCGAAAGCTTGTCATGCGTGGTGACATGGATTGAGAGACCAATGAATGGTTTGCCTAACAAGCAGTGGTGAGGATTATTGGCCCGAATTCGGATGTAGCCGAGATTAGTAGTAAATTGCGCGAATCGATTCCTGTTTTCCAGCGGTTAAAGCCTATTCGAAGACAAGGTATACTACGTGGCAAATGCCTAGGCACTTAAGATCTCAAACTAAAGTTCGAAGAGAAAGAACTCTAGGCTAGCTCAATTTCAAACAGTGAAGACATTTTTAAGCTAGTCTGATTGTTGACCGAAAAACCACCATGCCAAAAAGTGTTTCCCCTTTTAGTGAGGGTAATTAATTTGGCGCTTATTCTGGCTGACGCTGATCTAGACCAGGGTCTACGCTTTAGCAGAGGCCTGACCGCATTTGGGTCAGTGGCGATGAGTGAGTATTTTCAACGATCGTTCACCGGCGATGCATCCGGCAAGTGGGGCTTTTTACTACGGGGACATTTTTTTGAGAGTGTGACACTGTAATCATTCGACTCGTTATAGTGCAGTTATGTCTTAGTACCGTATCTAATGATAACCGGCAACTATCTTCCACCCCGCCCCAGCCAAACTTCGACACCCCGGAACTAAGGGATTTAGTGCACCATCTAGTTCCATGCGTTTTGTCTGCTCAAAGCCTAAAATGGGTTAACTGATTGGAAACAAGAATAGGTGGACCTTGCCCAATAATTCGGAATAAATGAAACACGTGAAGTGGTTTGCCTTACCCAGTACATTTTAAAAGGATGCATTCATATCCACTTCGCATTTCGCATTTCGCATTTCGAACACTATACTTCGCGGATTACAGATTGTGCAAAACGTATTGATACCGATGTATAGACCGCCTAGGCGACTCTCACAAGTAAGGAAATGCAGGTTTTGTCGCAGAGATAAGCGGAAGGTAGGCATTGCGTGACTAAGCCCCATTTTTACTTGCTAAACTGGTTGTTTCGATTTGAATTTAGTGCATTCCTGCGGATCGAGTATGGCCAGGCCAGAAATGTGACGCTTGTGTGCGATATGGCTATGACTGTTCAGACGGCCTTAGCGCTGTGGACGAGGATATTCTCAACAGACAAAGCCGAATAAGCAATCGCCTCCGACTCAATCAAAATATTGATACATTGCCTTCCATAGTCACTGAGTCTCGACGGCCCGTCCTATCCTTTGGACCTTCCAGCTCAGAAAATGTAAGCACTGGTGCAATTCGCTTGGTAGGAGAATATGAACCAAGGGGAAGTAGCACCGAACCGTTGCCTCATGGTTCCCTCACCAATTATCAACCGTCGGGGCCCAGTGGAAAAACAAGTCTAACCACTCAGCTGGAAGGGAGTTTGTTTCGGATATGGGCCAAGGAAGATATATATCGAGATATCTGTAGCCCACGCCTAGGGACAACAGCGGCGGAAATATTTGTTCACTGCCGACAAATTGCAGAATCGGCAAGCCCCCTTCCCCAGTTTCGTTGATGGGGTCTAATAGAAGAGCAACCAGGACGATATGGTCTTCTCCTCTTTGTTCGCCTTCTGCGCGGCTAACTTGTCCGTCTATGCTAAACCGAAGATCTCCTTGGAGCTCGAAGTAGCCTCGCGAAAGTACCTTGGACGGACGCTGAACTTATTGAAGACGCAGATGAACCTTCGACATGGAAGAATACTTTCTCTACAATATTCACTTTTTCTGTTAGCATGCTATGGGGTACACAATGACGACCACTCCCTGCCAACTAGAGATCCATTGACATTAGAAGATAGACTAGTATTAACGACCCGGATATGATAAACTTTGCGGCCATATTACTCAATATGACTCGAGAAAGGAGCGCATCCTTCCCTTTTGCATTACAGTTACTTATGCCGCCTCCGCGAGGGTGGCGTCTGCGTATTTATGTGAGTGCAAGTTTCAAGGATCGTTCAAGGATGTAGATATTCTAACTATAAGATAGCTTCCGGATGATCTATTCGACCCTGGCGTGATGATTGGGCACGATACCACAGTTTTCAAGTCAGCCATGATTGGTGCTCTTGATATATGAATTGGTATATCTAACACAGTTTATGACCTGCTGTCAAGCTACCGGGAACTTCTGAGATTCAATTCAAGGAGAGAGGCTGGAGAAAGTGAAACTCTTCAGATAATATACTATTCTTAACTCCGTTTGATAAATTCCGTACCCCCAGTCTCACACTTGTCATGTTGATAGGCTATTTAATTTTCGTCCTGGTAGACCGTTAGATAGACGATTATGACACCAGAAAAGCGAGTTGTCCTGAGGCAATAGCTCTATCGATTGCAATAGCCAACCTTCTCTTAACATGATCGCATTTCTCTATGAATTTTAGGCCTCTGAAGCAGGCTTTGGTGCTGTAGATGTACGTAAGGAACATACAATCAATATCAGCTGCTCGTAGAATTAGAGTTCAGCAGACTGACCTCGGTAACGGATTCAGACAGGCCTGGCCTTGCGTTAAGATAATATCCCGAGTGCATAATGTAGAATAAAGTTCCAATGAACATTTCGGCTGACACACTGTGTGAGGGGCGGTTTTCAGACTGTCAGATTTTATTCTCCAGTCTACTTAGCTCCAACAGTGTTGAAACTGGTTTCTGGCAAATGAGAAAAATCCCTCAGTCAACCCCAGGCTGAAAACTCGACATACTAGGTACGTAGAAATGGTACGCTGCGCAATGACCTTTTCGTTAGTCGCTTGGACTAGTTACAGGAATGAGACAGGCAACCGTATGTCCCCAGACCTCGGAGGCAATTAGTCCTACCCTTATCCCTAGTTCCTCGGGCAGCTGCTTTAAAGATGGCCAAACCCGCCCCAGACTAGAATATATCTATCCAGTCTTCTAAATTCATTGATATTCCCTAAAATTCTCTTTTATCCGACTGAACATGGAGAAAGAAGCGTCTACAAACCACCTGGAGGCTAAGACCGCCCAGGTGGAGTTCCTGGAGGAGGCCCGGGCCGCTGCGGAAAGAGAGCGCTCAATGACTCTCATGGCAGCAATCTACCGCTATCCCAAGGCAGTGGGCTGGTCTATTCTTCTATCAACAGCCATTGTAATGGAGGGATATGATCTCGTCTTGCTGCCCAACTTCTTTGCGCATCCTCGGTTTCAACAGCGATATGGGACCCTTCAGTCAGACGGCACTTACGCTATATCAGCTCCGTGGAGGTCCGGCCTCACCAACGGAGCGAATGTGGGTGAAATCATCGGTCTTCAGTTGTCAGGCATTGTGCAAGACCGCTTTGGTTACCGCAAGACTATCCTTGGGGCCTTGACGCTTATTATTGGTTATATCTTCATTGTCTTCTTCGCTATAAATCTCCCCATGCTGTTAGCTGGGGAGATCTTGTGTGGTGTTTGTTGGGGTGTTTTTCAAACGTTGACAACCGCTTATGCTTCGGAAGTTTGCCCTGTGGCCCTGCGGGCCTATCTCACCACATATGTGAACCTTTGCTGGGTGTTTGGCCAATTCATCGCAAGTGGTGTCTTGCGTGGAGTTTTAACACTGGATTCCGAGTGGGCTTATCGCATTCCTTTCGCAATTCAGTGGTTCTGGCCGGTTCCTTTGATCATCGGTTGTTTCTTTGCCCCCGAATCTCCATGGTGGAGTGTCCGACGAGGCAAATTCGAGAAGGCAAAACACGATTTGCGTCGGCTGACCAGTTCATTGGAGACCGATGCGGATCTGAACCAGACCATTGCGATGATGCGATACACCAATGATCTTGAGCTGGACACCGTGGCTGGATGTAGTTATTGGGACTGTTTCAAAGGGGTAAATCTGCGCCGGACGGAACTTGTCTGCATCACCTGGTTAATACAGAACGTCTGCGGGACCACATTGGGGAATTATTCCACCAATTTCTATGAGTCAGCTGGTCTCCCTGCTTCTGATTCCTTTGACTTGACTATGATCCAATATGCCCTCGGTGCGGTAGGTACCATTTGTTCTTGGTTTGTTATGATCTATCTTGGCCGCCGTACCATTTACTTGTATGGCTTGGTCATACTCGGTGCTTTACTTTTCGTCATCGGCTTTTCTTCCCTGGCTCCAGATCACCCGTCTCGAGATTGGGGTATTGGGTCCATGCTCATTGTTTTCACTTTCGTTTATGATTTGAGTGTCGGGCCAGTATGTTATTCCCTGGTGGCAGAGCTATCGTCCACTCGTTTACGGGCCAAAACCATTGTACTGGCGCGGAATGTGTACAATGTCGGTGGCATTATTGTTAATATCCTATCCAACTACCAACTAACGACTACCGCTTGGAACTGGGGAGCCAAGACCGGATTCTTTTGGGGTGTAAGCTGTGTCTTGTGTGTCATCTGGGTATTTTTTCGCCTCCCTGAACCGAAGGGCCGCACCTTCGCCGAGCTAGATATCCTTTTCGAGAAGGGAGTTTCGGCTCGTAAATTCAAGGAGACTACCGTCGATATCACCGAAACCTCCGACCGCGAGTCTGGTCAAAAGGAAACTATATGAGAATATGTTATTTCTTAATATCCAGCGTGGTTATTCTGACGCGTTCACTCTGCAATGAGCATTATTTCTCAACAACCAGCCCCTCAAGAAATGTATAGTTAGTCAGTGACCTGAAATTCACCAGAGTGAGAATTGCCTAGTCGGGAGACTGAATTCAACGCGAATAGTAGAATGTCCGTCCCGGGAGAAGACTCATGTGACGAAGCACCCTAGAGCTAACATCGATAAGTTCTATAAGGACTAATTTTTGCAGAAAACAAGCGAACGGATTGCTCCCAACTAATCCCGTTGAAATTTTTAGTTTCATTTTCTCTCCTAGTTTCAAAATTAATATTTTAGAGAGTGATGCTGCTATTCTAAAAGCTAGTGCCACAATTAATATTTCAATACTTGAGACCCTCCAGAAATTCGGATTTGTGCAGCTTTTTCAGATCGTCAACCCGGTAGATTAACACTCCAGCCTCGTTATTTCTTATTTTTTTGCGTTTTTAGCAAAGGGTTGGTATACTAATGATTGTTGCTCAAAAGACAAAAATATATTTTAGTGTAGGAAAAATAAGTCTACGATACTAATGTACGTTATTCTATTTGAGAGCTTTGCTAAACGTCTCATAAGGTGTAACTGCTCCTAGGGCCCGTCTCTGGTGCGTATTGAGGATCTCTAGCCCGTATACGTAACTGGCATTAACCCAACCGAATCTATGGCAGTCAGTGTTTGTATTTCAGTGGAAGACATCGAATATCAAAGCTTACCCCGTCTCCTTCGAACCCTGATTGCCATACTCCGCTTCAACTCGGTGAGGATCGATCGGTCGTGTGACATCATATTTCTCCACGACCAAACCGCCGAAATCAACGAAGATTTTAGTGATCATATATAGCCACTTATATGCCAGCCTCTCAGCCTCATCTTGATAGCCATACCGCAGAAGACCAGTCCATGCTAAGATTTGATGTGGAGCCCATCCATAAGGGAAGTCCCACTGACGATTGGGACGCGTCAAGCTGATCACTCCACGTGACTCTTCGGTCCCTGAAACTAGGCCACCATCCTTCTCCAGCCGTGGAAGCGCGTTTTTCACCAGTTTCATGGCCTGTTGTGGTGTGGCTACACCCGCCCACATTGTCCAGAACATGGTAGCACTTTCATAAGTTGTGCGTCTCTGTTGAATAGTATCGTAGTCAAAAAACGTGCCCCTTTGCCTATCCCACAGATGTCGATTCATAGCTATTTTTCTGTTCCGAGCCCGACGATTCCACGTAGATGATGTCTCGAATTCCGTATCTTTGCTCTGCGGGGTGCGAAAATCCGGCGGAATTTCCAGCTTGTCGTTAAAATAGATGCAGATGATTCGTGAGATGTCTATTTCGTACTTGTATAGCAAAGAGTTCAGGTCAACAGTTGCCAGATTTGCACAGGTTCTGTCTAAACGATAAGACGTATCATGACCAGACTCTCGTACCGCGCGATCATGTAAGAGGTATTCGTCGAGATCTGGCTCTCGGATTGTCCCATTATTGTAAGCGGTTACGAAATCGGCGACCGTGATCCCGTGTTTCTCCGCATATGGCGTGAGAAGATGAAGGAAGTGTGTGGCTTCTGTTTCCGGAGGAATACCGAACCCGTCTGGACGATATCGCGAGAGACACGTTACAGGGTCGTACCGTGGTTCGCTGGTCCAGACCCCATAGTACTCTTTAATTGCTGCTAGCGTAGCGTTACGTAAAAAGCCAAGCGCGCCTGCCTCTGCCTTGATCTTGTCATATACCTGCATAGCCATATCAGTCAAGAAAGGAGGTTGTGACCGCATCAAATAATATGAGCGATTCGCATTTAGGATTTTTCCATAATGCTGGATGCAGAAGCAGAAATTTATAACCATGGCCTTTGCCAGGTCTATCCGATTGCTGGCAAGAAGACCAAGGCATTCCATATAACTATCCCAGCCGTAGAATTCGTTGAACCGACCCCCAGGGACAACAAAGGGAACTCCCCTTAGTTCAATTTCCCCCGTCTCTGGATTGATCCATTTCTCCATCTCCAGAGCCAGAAGACCAGGTTTTTGATTCAAACTTGCCACATATTCAGCAGTGAGATGTTCGTTTAACTGTTGAACATCCAGCCCTATATCCGGATTTTCATCGGCAATCCGTTTGTAATAGTGTAATTGCTCTGGTGCTCCCTGTGGAATGTAAATGCGAGGTCGGGAATCACCTGTCCAATCTTTTGGGTCCAGGCCGGAAAGCGCAATATTAGAACCATCAATGCGACGAGTCAACGCATCCCAAAACGTGGTTTTGATAAATCGAGATAGACGGTTTACCGGGTCCTCGCGTAACTGTTGCTCATCCACCACAGCTACCTCACAGCCACGCTTTTGTAAAATTCTGAGCTCTTGGAGAAGGTTCGACAACATGTATGTACCACGAATGTCGAATTTGTTGTATCCCCCAGACGCAACCGTTCCAACCCGCAGTACCTATAGCTGTTACCATTCTATTATTTAGAGTGGAGAATTGTGGATTTCCTACCTTTGGGCCGACGCCCTCGATGGTTATCTCCAGGTTTTCGTCGGTATCTTCCGATTCCAGGAGAGACATAATTGTAGAGTTGACGTTGACAAGATACTGGCGGGAAGCAGAGTAAAGTTCATCTATTCGAACAAATTTGAAAATAAGCAAACAGGAAGAGAAAATCAAGAATACCCACCTTACATACCATGGCTGCTTCTTCTCATTGGTAGTTTTCCTGAGACCGCATCGGTATTACACTTTTTAACTGATCTCAAGTCCTAGGTCATTCCGTTAATAAAATTAGATCCATCCAAGCTCACTGCTATTATGGAAACTCACTGTTGAACATGTACGGAGGTGGTTACGACCCCCCCGCATATTGAAGAACGGGACCATTATGGAAAGATCAGTCAGTACGAGGCTTGTTAACTCCCAGTAGTGCGTATTGCTTGCGCGCGCTTCGCTCCTGGGGTGTTCGGTAAGAGCAGAGGGAAAAGTCTGCCTTGGATGTAAGAAAGACATTGCAAGGATCGGGGGGGGGGGGGGGGGGGGGGGTCTACTCTGGTGCAAAATTGGCGCAGTTTGATGACAGGTCGTTATCATGTCTTTCCAGAAAGCAAAGGGGGTAGACCACGCGTGGGAACCAAACTGCGCCAGTAATTGGCCGAAGATAGGATCAGGCAATAGCAGGAACAACTGTAAAATTGGGTACAAGGAACGAGTATTACACTATACAGCCAGCTGAGAAATGAAAAACTTTAATCGTTTTGTCCCAAAATCTGGGTTGTAAACGTCATAGTCAGGCTAGGGTCGGGCTAGTATCAATTGGCGTTGGCGGAGAGGGCAGAATTTCGCTCAATGAGTTTTTAAATTAAACGTATAGGACTTAAAAGGCCTATGCACATCCATAGTTGGAAAGTCAGTCCTCGCGATAGTCAGCACTCAGACGGCCAATCTGCGATCAGCCTGTGACGCATGCTATAAGGCCAAGGTGCGCTGCCAAGGAGGAACACCATGCATGCACTGCAAAACCTACCACCGCAGCTGCCATTACAGCTTGGCGGCACGAATTGGCAAACCCAACGGGAGTCACAACCGTAAGACGATGTTGCGATTGAGAGATGCGGTCTCCGTGACCAGCCATCAGTCCCGCCTGAAATACCTGGCATCTAGCACGTTGCCAACGTCAATCGTCACCAAGTGGAACGCTGTTGGACACTCCGGGACATTATCCGGCCAGGTGCACACCCACATGAAAGCTCCAATATACAATCAGCTCAATCCCACAGCTAATTCCTTAGTGTAGCATGGAAATAGCTCCTCAGCCAATTCCAACACCTTCAGAGAACGTCCATTTAGGCTGCAAGCCACTACCACTCCATTACGATCCCTTGATATCGCAGATTTCCCACACAAAACCCTCACGCTCCTCTCCGCACGCGCATACTGACGATGTCTACCGGACCAGCAGCGGCTTTCCCAGCTATCACGAGTCCTTTCAATCAATGTCTTGCGACTGTTTCCAGTGGCAGATATCGATTGTGGTCTCACTTTAGGCTTTCAAGTCTCCGTCGCAGGCTGACCAACACGACACCCTCGATGAGTCGCTGTAGTACACTACAGCCACCTTAATTGCATGTCAAATAACAGCAGGGTGCTTGTCATGCGAAAAAGACTCGTCACTAGGCCTTATGTATATGCCGAATAATGACACTTAATTAGTAGATCGATGTCGAATTCTGCGGACTGAGCCAGTCAAGACTAGAGAGACATGTGGTTCCCTATAATCCATGTCCTCGCTAGTAATAAATTATATAATATTAGTATCAAATAACGGATTTTCGACGACTAGTCGCCCAACATCCAGGCGGTAAGGTTACACCCTCGTCCTCATGGCTGTTCGGCCAGCCATCTGGGGTCGACTGCTACTTAGAGTGAGACTTCGCTCAGCGAGATGAAGTTGAAGTTGGTAAGACGTATCTGAGATAAATGATGTGTTCTAAGAATTGAAATTGATTCGGGATTTGGTGGCATTGTAACCATCTAGATAATGTTGTAGTAATCTGCATCAGGGTATGTCACAGCTTGACCCGCTCACTTTTTTACAAACGTCATCCGTAAATCTGACAAGAGTTGTTTGTAAATGAAAAAATAAAAGTTGAGAAAGAATACATCGAAAATATTCAACAGGTCGTGAAGATAAATCAAACGATAACCGCTAATGGTCTCCCACTGTGAAACCCCCGTTCGTGGCGCTTCATATTACTGCGAACGTTGAACGCCTTGCCGCAACCCACATGGGTGCAGCGGAACGGCTTTTCACCCGTGTGACTGTACGAGTGAATGCGCAGACCGGATGGCCGCGAGAATGCCTTACGGCAGGTTCGACAGACGTATCGATTAATGGGAGTAGGAGGAGACATGCGCAATTCCTGCGAGACTGAGCCTCGCTCTGAAGGTGGTATTAGGAGAGAAGCTGCAATGGCTGGAAGTGTAACCTGTGATTGTGATTTTTGTATAGATGGCGCATTACTGATTGAGGCCGAGTAAGATTGTCTGCAGAAAGATGAGGATGAAAGATCTTCTGTTAGTTTGGAGTAAGGATGTATGAGTGATGTAGAAGATAGAATGATGTGGCTGTACTTAGTAGAATTGTGATAAGCTTGTTCTAAGGCTGTCTGTTAGCTAAAAGTCCTATGTATTTAATAGAATTGAATAGGTTGGATATACTGGTTATTTGAATACTGTCTGTGTCTTTTAGTAGGCTGAATATCGATGGCTGCGAGCATTTGTGCTGACTCTTGGTGGGAGGAGACAGAGGTAGTTGTGGCGACATTTGAGTGTTGAGTGGCACAAAGTATGAGTGTGAGTATGAGTTTGTGTATGATTGCACCCTCTCCTCATATTCATCGTATTTTCTTGTAGTGTCGGTGATCGGGTTGGGCTGAGAGCCAGACGATGAGCGGCGACGAGTGTCGGACCACTCGGTGGTCATCAGACTGGCGATCTTCATGGCAGGTGTGTTGATTGTATCTGTTCCTGATAGTTGAAAGGAGATAGACTTTGTCACTAGATCAACGCCAATTTGTTCCAGGGTCAATCATTCCATATATTCTGACAGAATAATCTTAAAATCTTACGTATTGTGTTCGGGTGAGCCCTAATCGTGAGCTTGAGTACGCCCCTAATAACGAAGAATCTCTTATCAAATTCTCGAAGCTACAAAGAGCACTTGGCGATACATCGAGGATAGAATGTTGAATAAATTGGTAGAAAGCATATTGATCGCTTAATTCTCGGAAATCGCATGGAAAATAACGCATAATTACCATGGTTTTACATACCGTTTCATGGTGCGGTAGACTCCGCTGATTAGCCGACAATTTTTCTGCAGGACTAGTGGTCAGACTGATCCTTGGGTTGAACCTAAAATCTTCCTACTTGAATGGTAAGTCAACAGAGCATGGACCATGGACCATCTTGCCCCACGTGCAAGGAAATTGTGTGCCTCTACCCCGCAGAATTAATCCGCAGCGAAATTGGGCGTTGGCTTTTTATTGCGAACCATTGCTCTAGTTTCGATTAGACTTCGGAAGGAGGCTGGCTAAGCCATAGCTGGCGTTCGGCAGAGCTGATCAATGGTCTTCTTGGGTTTCCATCAAAATCCACTTCACTATATTTTCAGCGAAACTAGGCTGTCATTCCAGAAAAGATATGACGTGTTTCCGTATCAACTCGTAAAACGAGTGGAGTGCGAAGTGCGAAGTGCGATGAACCAGACAAAAGCTGACTTGGGAAAATTTGCTTAACATTGGATTGGTCATTAAAAACTACGCTAAATTGCTCCACTAGCGAAAGGGTAGGCCTGGAGCAGAATCGACGCCAGAAAATGCATGTAATCTACCCCACTGATGATAATACCAATCCCAGTTTCGCATATGCACCAACTCGCTTTGTGGGTTGATACGGAAATAAACCATACGGACCTAACTATTCCTCTTTTCGTCGTCCTCCTTTTTCACCTGTATAGTAGATATAGTGTAAAGTCTTCGTTAAGTGAGAATAAGCTCTAAAATTTAGCCATTTTGCAGCTGTTCATGACTCGTTGACCATTACTACACATACGGGTAGACAAGCTATCCACTCCAGGCAATAATCTAACACTTACGGTACGTGTTACAGGTAACAGATTAGGGGAAGTGTATCGATTGGATGTACGCATATCTATTGCTTGGTTGTCTCCTAAAGTAGGAGCTAAACACTCTACAGCGCCAAGACGCTAACGAAACGTGCCTTGACACTCTAAGCTTTTACAGGATCCATGGTATCGAGTGTAGTTGTCATAATAGCAACTATTTTTTTGAGTAAACGTGCGATGTTAAGCTTTATAGTTGAAATTCGTTCCCCATCGCATGGCCACAGCCTTGATCAGGGCTGTCACCATGAGATGATATTGGTTTGCCACTGAATTATTCTGCTTAAATGTCGTTGAGTGTCTCAAACTCCAGCCCGCCCGTGGTATTTGTAACGGAGAAGCCTGTATGGTTGCCTAACAATCTAGTCAGCTGTAGTCTTCTAGCCAGAAATAGCAGAGCAAAATCAGCTTTTACCTTTGATACCCATCCTAATTAGTCGGTCTACTAGCCTCACGGAATGTTCAGAGTGGATAAGCACTGCAACTGGACTCTATACATGGACGGGGTCAACATATTTTGCGCAGACCGGTTTCCGTAGCTGGTAATTATTCAACCAAGTCAAATAACGCCGTTACCCACTTTTACTTTTATTTATCTGAACATGAGAAAGGGCTGAGATGGCCCACCTCTAGCCACCAGTTGCAGTAGCTCCACTGTCATATAATGAAGAACACACCTATACTATAATAGTTATTGGTACCTACTACTTAGTACGGCTAGATCCGAGTCCAGGCAGATCATACGCTGCCCGAAGCAAACGACTACATCGTTTACTGGGCACTGATCGACGAACCCTGAAGCGGGTCTTCGGGGACTATCCGGGGACATTGCGTATCTATTAACGCTAATGGGGTTCTCCACCTGGTGGGACGCCACAAAGATTAATTCAGCCGCTGGATGATATGTGATTGATCTAACCGAATGCGGTAATATCTTTCAAAAGTTTATCACTTGCAGCTGTTGCCCATTTGCTTCCGTCTAGTCTTTCTGAGCTCAATTAATTCAGCCGGGTTTTCTATGAGGGCCTCGGCATGGCCTTCAACAGGGGAGATTTAATGGGTATTGCCGGCCGTACTAATGGTGTGGTAACAATGCTATGCGTAAGCCCTTGGAATGAGGCCGATAGCAGACAAAGTCTCCCAGTCTTTCGGTCAACCAAAGAGAGTTGGCTCGGCTGCTAGGACTAGCAAGATACACTTCAGGTGCGGGGTTGAAGCAGCCCAGCATGCCTAGTTGGTGCACATCGCCGTGCAGATGGTTATATCACGATGAAAATATATAATTTTCACGTATCATAAAACAGCGAACTAGCACTTGATTTAATCATGCTAGGAAGTCCATAAATTGCCAGATGAAAATAACTTTTTTCCCCAAGGAATTTCGCAAGTTTCGAATAAGGCCCAAATTATCTCGATATAATTTCTAACTCATGCCTTTTTGAATACATATGCTCACACAATCAATCAGTGCAACTCTACTCCGCCGAGACAACACTAGACTAACCATTTGACAGCCCAGAGGTCTCCTATGTCCCAACTTATAGTTACATAATAAGCTTATTAAATAAACCTAACTTTAGATTATACTCCCTAATTATAGTATCTGATAAAATCTAATTCCTAATCATAAACAGTATATCAGCTTTATTAATTATATAAAGTTAAAAAGAACATATTAATACATAATAATTAAATATCTTTAATAATAATTATCCTTATAAATTATACTAATAATATTATTAATAATATCTCTATCATTATCTTTTTAATTAACATATTAGAGCCTTTATTTTTAATCTTATTTTTAATCGTAAAAACAAAACTAAATAAAGTCTTATACATAGAATTTCTACTAGATTTAGCTATATTATAAATTAGTCAGCTCGACATGCTGTCATAGACTTATATAAAGTTAAATTGAATAAAATAATTATTAGATGAGTTTAAATTCAGAATGAAAATATATTTATTATAATAGGAGACATAAAGAGTTAACAATGATGATACAGCTACAGCCGTAGAAAAGGAGTAGGCAGCGAGGTGTGCTTGGTTGTGTTCATTATTTATGACAACCCATCAGAAATATCAGGCAGCTGTAACAGGGATAGACCCAGAGAGCATGTTCAAGCCTAATCCGGCAGGACTGGGGGGCTCAGGGATACTCTGGAGGCAATTATGATATATCACAATTGATATCATAAGATCTTAGACATGATGTTAGTATCTCTTATCTTACTATATATATCTTTATCTAATTAGATTAAGTATTAATAATCTAAAATAAAGACTTAGATATATAGACTTAATTTCTTATCTAAAGAAAGAAAATTAAGTAATATCTTTTATATAATTTTTAATATAACTTTTAATATAAATTTACTTAACTTTAAATAATCTTTAATTTAAAGTCTTCTTTAATTATATAATTTAAACTGATAATTTCCTTTTTAATAATATTACTCTATAGTATTAATATTAATTAATAAAGCTTTAACTTATTTATATTAAGTCTATCTAGATATTCTTAGATATAGTTCTACTAGATTATATTATATTAGATATTGCTTTCCACTCAAAACTAAATTAATTTTAATAAAATATCTAGAAATAGTATAATTATTAGGTCTTAATAGATAATTACTAAATCTTTTAGCTTTTTAATTTAAGAAGTTTCTAAGACTTAATAATCTAGAATTATTTCTAAATATAATTAATAATTAATTAAAAAGTAAGACTGCTTAGAATAGATCTTAATAGATTAAAATGTTCTAGAAATATTTTTTAATTAACTTTAGTTAAATAAAAAAGAGTTTATTAATAACTAAAAGAAAATTAAAGTTCTTAATTTAATATATTTTATTATTAAGCAGATCTATAACTTTAAGATTTGGATAGAAGATATAAAAAATAATATTTATAATTATTTAAAAGCTTTTTTAATTGAAATTAATAAGATTTGGTATACTATAATTTAGTTTATAGAAAATCATCAGATTTAATAATATGAAAAACAACTTTTAATTAATAAAGAAAATTTTATTTTCTTTTAATTTAAGGTCTAATTAGAGAATTAGATTAAGTCTTTATAAAATTAAGAAATTAATATTATAATTAAGCTTAATGAATTAATTTAAATAAATAATTAAGATTTTAAATCTTTTTATTCTAAATTCTTATTCTTATATAAGAAAGCTAGAGAGAGAATATCTTCTAAAATATAGATTAATTGTTAGGCATAAAGCCTGAGAAATGCATTTGATTTGAGGTTATTAATTGTTCTAAATATATTAAGATGCCGGCAGCGTGCACAATAGCTAAATACCAATAGATGATATAAATGCGGAAAGCTTAATCTGATATAGGTTAATCTAGTAGAATAGTAATGGCGTAATAAAATCCCTTTAAAAAGAAAAACTCAATATTCTTATTGAAAATAGTCTATAAAGATATATTATTAATTCTGTTATCTATATTTATCTTATTATAAAAAATGTTTGTTCAGTAGAATATTTACATTTTTTTCTTAATACTTAACTACAGAATGTAATAGTATTAAGTATTTGATATTAGATCTAAAAATATAAATTTAGATATTAATTTATTAATTTTGTTACTTATAATAAAGACAGACTTTTGAGATTTTTATATTATATTAGAGATTTGTTGATCTTTATCTATTTTGATTTTGTAATTATTGTTAGCGGCTGGCTGCTTTTCATTGGCCTTTGTATGGGG